ACAGCATGACTTCTTGGAGTGCCCCATAGTTCGGTCATAGTGTTTCCCTGGGTGGACAGCCTCCCCATTCTGGTGGAGAGGTGTTCTGTCAGGGGTAGGTACCCTCCTGCCTAGGGGTAAGTAGCGTGGTACACCCTCCTTTTCCTCCCATAAGCGACTGGAATGGTGCATGGATACCTTCTCTTTCCCCTCTGCTCCCCTGTGTGTGCTCGTATGTGAATGAGTACTCCCACAGGTAGGGACTGGATACCGGGCAGTTCTGATCAGCCTGCGGTGGTGTCCCTGGAGGAGCAGGCTTCTCCCCACCCCCGGCAGAGGAGGCCTGTCATCTTCCTTGGTATTCATGCAGTCTGGGGTATGCTGTTGGTGCTGCCTTCTGGTTTTGGCCTCAGGGTCTTTCTGCAAGTACACCCGCAATGTGATCAGGCTGGCGGCCACTTTAGGCCATGACTTGCAGCCTGCTAGGCAGGCTATGACACCTGCCATCTTAGTTGTGGGCATGTGCTTTTCAGCCTAGCACCTACCTGCTGTGGGCCTCGGCTGGATATTTGAATGTTTAGACAGCTGGAGACGTTGCTATTGCTCCCGCCCCTCGGCTGTGAGTGCTGTTTGGCACCAGGGGCCATGTTACTGTAGTCCTGGTCGGTGGCCATTTTGGCATGGTCCAACAGGTGGCCCCTTGTGTGTGAGCGGGTCCCATCAGCCTTCCCCCTTCACTATGAGGTGCACTCCGGTGGCTGTGGGCTTTCCCTGGCTCATGTAGGCCGCTGGTTCGTTGAGATACTAGCCCATAAGGCCTGCCATGGGTGGCACAGGCGCTCCTGGTTTCTGAGCCTGCTCAACTCGCATACTATCCCTCCTCGGCTTGTAGGCTTACCCCCTCCTGTTTTCAGGGTGGGGTGATTGCCTCTGCTGGTTCATGGACCATGACCCTCTTTGCTTATGATGACGGGTCCCCAACCTGTTTCTGCCAGGCTACTAGATGGTATTCCTTTCAGATTGATACTTGCCCCCCCCCCCCTCCTTTCTGAAGGTGCTGTAGGGGGTGGTGCCGATTTTGCACTTTTGGGGCATAATACCACTGGTGCCAGAACTGGAGAAGTTCCTGGGCTGTTGCCTATTGGTTCCACAGAGGGCAGGAATCTGTCTGTCCGATCCAGATCTCTAGGCCCTGCATTGTGAAAGGCAGAGGTTCAAGTTGACCTTAATTCACTCTGTGGTGGCCTTCCTTCAGGGAGAATCCTGGCCTCTATGCACATCGAGAATGTTTATCTATGCATCCCTTCTTTGCCGGACGCCTGCACTTGCATTCCAGGACACTCATTGGTCAGTTGTGCCGCTGTGCTCCTTGAGTGCTGACTCTAGTACTACCGTACTGGTGATAGTCCATCACGGCAATTTCAGGCTATCTGGATGACCTCTGCCTGCGAACAGAGTCTTGCAGCATGGTCGGACACTGTGCTGCTCTCCCTGTGCCTTTTGCAGGTGTTTGGCTGGGTGTTGCACCTAAAGAAGTCTGCTCTGTCCCCGACCTGATGTCTGGGATATTTGGAAGTGATCCTAGACTCTGAGCGAGCCAAGGTAATCCACCCACCAGACAAGATTCAGGCACTCCAGACTGTGGTCTTTTTGCTGCTGTCCCTCTGGTGGTCTTCTCTGCATCTGTTGTTCTGGGTCTTGGGAGGCTATCAGATACAGATAACTCTGTAATTACACAAGAAGCTACAGCAACAAAGTTTTTCTCTTTTGGAATAAAGGCTTTGCATGAAGCAAAAAAAGATGATCATTTAAGCACCCCTGTCAATGGTAAATGCTTTGTCTCAACACTCTCTTAACTGCTACATTTGTATGAGAGCTTGTTTTGTTGAAAAACAACAGACTTACAGGTAGGATCACCAATTAAAAAGAAGAGAAAACAAGCCTAAAAAAGAAAACGAATGCAGTCATTACATCTAAGAATTGGTAAGCTGTGCTAGAATACATATTTGCTTTTGGGTTTAATATTGCTTTAACATCTGCCTCCTGTAATCCTTTGAGGTGTTGCTGTCAGTAGATAGTATATAGCTGCTTTTTGTGCCTTTTTAGGTCTGTGTGCAACTAATCTCTTTGCTTTGTTGGCTTGAATTGGAAGTTTTTTTTACTACTATCAACAGCTAGATTCAATCCGATTACCAGAAATCCTGGAATTCTCTCCAGTTAGCTAGCGAACACAGGTTTAACCGAATCATTAGATATAGTATATTTGTGTTCTCTCTTCAACATTCCAGCCATCGGACGTGACAACCCGTCTGTGTTCAAGTTGGCTCAGAATTCCACCTCCATTTAAGAAAAGTTTATTTCGGGATTCTTTGCCAAGTTAATGGGACCAGAGCTGTGGCAGTTTTTCAGGTCCCTGTCTCTGAAGACCTACTCCTTGGGAGTGGCTAATAGGCTGTTTTCTGTGCTAAGGATTTTTTCTTTTTTGCATTGGGCTGTGTATGTGATCACAATGTATTTGGCTGAGCTCTTATAAAGTGGATTAAGATCTCTCCTGCCAATAGAGGTCCTTTAATTGTACTTTATGAGCAATCTGTATGTATTTCTATGTGGATGAGGAGCCCTTACTTTTATTTAGTCAGGCTGACAGGGAATGGCCACTACCTGTGATTTTTTTTTTCTAGTGGCTTTTCTAGTGGCTTTCCTACCACCTTCTCCTTTTGGATTTGATGATGCCGCTTTGTGAGGAGAGAGTGCAAGAGAGCACATACTTGAACAAATTTTCCTTTAATTTTCTCTCTGCTGCAGCTCCGGTGAAGATTTTTTTTTTTCCACATAGCACTTCAGACAGGCTGGTTTTAGGGACATAACAATTCATCAACACATCTCCCTGCTCTTAGCAACTCTCCTGCAGCAACAGTTGTCACTTTCCTTAGCCTAGTACAGTATTTCTCCTCATGCTTCCTAAGCTCAGCTGGTAACGAATATTCAAGGGGTGAGTTTGGTAGATCTTTTTCTTAAAGGTACTGCGATTTTCTGATTTTTTTTTTTTTAATTTTCTCCCAACAATAGAAGAAATGGTCACCTTGCATCTGCAGGTGACCCACTTAATCAGGACCAAATTTGCACCACATGGATGATCTTGGCACAGGAAAGAATTATACTTTATCTACAGAGATCCTTGTTGGATCCACCTGTGTGGGCAGTCATTTTTGACCCCTTCCTTTCTTGGATCTCCCTTCTTTTCCTGTTTTACAGCAGAAGTGTCTTCTTCTTTATACATTGTTTTCTCTCAGTTGGTCCACCCTGTACCTTAGGGATCTAAAAGTTAAATCCACTTTTCAGACCATTTTTCATATTACACCCATATTTAGAAAGAGTAACATGAAACCTGGTCAGCTTGCACAGCCCCCTACCTCCGATAGTCTACAAAGTAAGCATGGAAAAAGGTCTTGCTGTGCTTAATTTTTGTTTGAAGCCATCTTTGCAACTCTTTGCTGGAGGAATAATTAAAAACATAGGGTGTATGAGTACTAACCACAGCTACACAAAGCTAAGGATCCACAGTGCAGATCAGCACCTTCCTATTTTACAACAAGCCTTCCTTCACCTCCTTATGTTTGAGGATCCAAGCTTGTGGATAAGATGTCAGTGTTTGGAGATATTCCCACCACCTTTTCCATCAGAGGTGAAGGGACATATAATGCTGGGTGGAGAGTCATGTTCTGGTGATAGTCAAAGTGCATATTCCGGGGGGTTAGAAAACTGGCAGGCAGTTTTTCTCAGCAGACCATTTGTGGACCTAGGGTAATGGTCTCTTTAATTGTAAGTGTTTCCAGGATATATTTCCAAAGTTGGGGGACACCAGATGTAGATCTTCCTGCAGTTGGAGGTAGGACAATACTTTTGGGATGTTGTTTTTTGAGGTGTATTTGTCAAAAGTTATTATATAGCAGCTGTATGGACTGCAGATGCTAAGTAGCAGAGGTTCCAGTGTCTCATATTAATACCTTTCAGTTCATTGTATTGATGTCCTGCTTATGTGCCAGTTGGATTGTGTTTGAATTGTACAGTGAGGTCAGCATCTAATACAGTATATGCATTGTGGTAATGTTTGGTACTGCGCTATGAATGTGCATTGTGATGCTGTTAATTCTCACTGCAACCCCAAGGCAATTCCATGCATTGCATTTCTGAACAAGGGTTGGGTGAAGTTTGGGCTGTGCTGTGGTTTGTTGGCAGCTCTTTTAAAATGATTAAGCTACCTTAGAACACAATGCTAGACCTAATACAGTATATGTTAACTCACCACAAAAGTGTGATCCCATCCTGAGTCTTTACACTCTTAACGCCAGACATATATAGTTCATTCCTTGGTAACAATACGTGAGACAAGCCCTAGACTTAAGGGTATCCTGAAAGTGTGTGGAATGTCTAAGTAGAGTTTTAAAACTAATGTAAAGTGTAAATCAGAGAAACATAAAATATATTCACACACATAATTTCCCCTTGTTTTAGCTCTTTAAAGACCCTGCTAGTACAGGAAAAAATACCTGTAACATGCCAGAAATGCATTCAGCTCCAAATTCCTGTTGGGGTCGGATGACCCTCAGCATTTTTGAGGACTGAGTGGTGTCAACCCTGCCCCAGTGTATTTTGCTAAACTACTAATCAGATGTGCAAATTATCATGATAAGTAATACATTGACAGAAGGACTGAGCTCATCAGTGTGCTTCTACTTCATCAGTTTCCAGTCAGACTGGGTGTGGGGAGATGACCTGTAGTGTATTGTTTAACTGCAATAAAGAAAAGTCAGGTCACCAACCTGACTGTGCTGCCTGGTAGTCTGTAAATTTCAGGACTGGATGGACAGAAATACTAATCTTTTGACAGGTAAAATGGCTCTCATAAATGTATTTATTTGCTTTTAGGTTCAGCTGTAAATTGTACAGCTTCGTACATCTGTGTGTACATTGCACATATATATATATACAGTGTTAATCATGCACAATTTTTCACACAGGCAATCTGAATCTGGTGGTGTTGTTTTTGGTGGCTGGGCACGCATGGCTCAACCTATAGTGGCTTTCTCGGTTGTGGAAGTTGCCAAGCCAAATATTGGTGAAAACTGGCCGACACGAGTAAGAGCTGACGTTACCATCAACCTGAATGTCAGAAACCAGATTAAAGACGAATGGGAAGGTATGAATGACTGGTGCACATGTATGTCTTATGATACATTCTTTGTTCCTTTAAAGCTAGAAGCATGAACTTTGACTTACTTTTTGTATGCTTTTGGGTAAAAATATACACTTAGAAGTCCAATTGAGATTTAAATAAATTACTTGATGTTGTTTGTTGAATGTTTCTGTTCTGCCTTCCTGTCCTTGCATGACAACAGAAAATCATACTGTACCAGGATAATACAAACAGGACTTGACTACTGGAAACTCCGTCTTCTTACATACATAGTATAGATGTAAAGGTCCTGTAAAGGAAAGATGATCAGAAATAAATGTTGCTAAAAGCTGAAACTAGATGGATCTTTAGACTGGGTTCAAGAGATCCTTCTGGCCTTAATGAAGGCTTCACTTTCATGCCATTTGTACGTGATTGAGCAGAATAAACGGTACATCGCAATAGGTGTCAGTTTTACATTAGTAGCCTGTTTTGCATCCAGTATGGTAACAAAATTAGTGGACAGAGTTTCGCTTAAAAATTATTTTAAGTGATTTATAGCCCAAATTAGCAGTATTGTGCAAAATTAATTTGGTGTCCCTTTATATATGCTTGGAGAAGTTACTGTATTTTTCGCTCCATAAGACGCACCTAGGTTTTAGAGGCAAAAAAACAGGAAAAAAAATATTCTAAACCAAGGGACTGCAGACATAGTACAGGAGATGACCAGAGACTGCGGACATAGTACAGGAGATGACCAGAGACTGCGGACATACTACAGGAGATGACCAGAGACTGCGGACACAGTACAGGAGATGATCGGAGACTGCGGACATAGTACAGGAGATGACCAGAGACTGCGGACACAGTACAGGAGATGATCGGAGACTGCGGACATAGTACAGGAGATGACCAAAGACTGCGGACAGTACAGGAGATGACCAGAGACTGCGGACACAGTACAGGAGATGATCAGAGTCTGCGGATATAGTACAGGAGATGACCAGAGACTGCGGATATAGTACAAGAGATGACCAGAGACTGCGGACAGTACAGGAGATGACTGCTGACCTTTGGGGAGGGGGGGAGCGGCTACCTGAATCTGGCAGGTACCCACTCTTACTTCTGCGAAGTTGTTCTTTGGTTAGTGTCCGCTCTGCAGTGGGACCTTACCTGTTCCTCTATCCAGCGCCGCGCTGTCTTCCCGGCTTCTGTAGTGTGGGCGCTCGGCTTGACAGCCGGGTGCCCAGTGTGCATGGGTGCCCAGTGCGCATGGGTGCCCAGTGCGCATGGGTGCCCCGTGCGCATGGGTGCCCAGTGCGCATGCGTGAGAAGCGCTGCGCTTTGTGATTGGTCTGGCGGCTTCTGGGACCTGTCATGTGTCCCAGGTTGCCACCTTACCATTCACAAAGCGCACCGCTTCTCACGCATGCGCACTGTGCACCCGGATGTCAAGCCGAGCGCCCACACTATGGAAGACAGCGCGGCTCTGGATAGAGTAACAGGTAAGGTCCCGCTGCAGAGCTGAGCGGCAAGTCCTGTATACTGACACGGCGGCGGTGGAAATACCGGACCGGCCGCTCCATATTCGCTCCATAAGACGCACTGACATTTTCCCCCCTTTTTTGGGGGGAAAAAATGCGTCTTATGGAGCGAAAAATACGGTATTTAATTTAAAGTAAAAGTCTACCAGTATTGTGCATTATATTTAAATTTATTATATCCATGCAAAAAAGTCTCAGCCTTTATTACTACTTTAACCACTTCCCGACTGGCCGTTGTATATAAACGGCCGGACGGTGGCACTGCAGGGTCGGGTGGCCGTCTATAAACGGCCTCCCCGGACCCTGCTTGTGCGCGCTCCCTGGGAGCGCGCAGCACCGCGATCCGGTGCCCGCTGTGTCCTCTGGACACAGTGAAACACCGATCGTCGGACGGGACCTCTGTATGAGGTCCCGATCATGTGATCACTGATTGGCCAATCAGTGATCACATGCAAAGTATTAAGCAAGATGTCACTTCTGACATCATTGCTTACTATGTGTGAAATCTGTGAATGATCACAGAAGTCACATGGTACAAGGCTAGTCACAAAAGCCTTGTACCATGTGACAAGCTGTGACCAATCACAGCTCATTCAGTTCTTCTCAATGAGTGCAAGAATGCACACAGAGAGAAAGAGAAATGATTGCTTTTACATCCTATATGGGTGTAAAAGCAATCAGTGTAAAAAAAAATAAAAAAAAAAAAATCTTCATCACCCCTCACAAGTAGTACAGTGTCACCATGGTGACACTACTGCTAGGGTGACAGTATGTAAAAATAAAAAATAATATAAAAAAAAAAAAAAATAAAAATGTAAAAAAAAATGTTTAAAAATTATAATTTTTGCTTATAAACTAATTTGGATTTTTTTTTTTTTTTACTAAAAAGATAACGGAATAAATTTTGGCTAAGATTTATGATGAAATATTATTTATTTGCAAAATTTTATAAAAAAAACACTTTTTTTTCAAAATTTTCGGACATTTCATTTACATAGCAAAAAAAAAATACAAATCCCAGTGGTGAATAAATACCACCAAAATAAAGCTTTATGTATCTCAAAAAAATAGTAAAAAATTCATTTGGGTACAGTGTTGCATGACCGCGCAATTGTCATTCAAAGTGTGATAGCGCTAAAAGCTGAAAATTGCCCTGGTCAGGAAGGGGGTTAAAGTGTCCGGTCTGGAAGTGGTTAATGTAATAGATTGATATGCCCCCCACCCTTCATATAGCTTCATGTCTGTTTTTACTTTCACTGTTTAACAGTATAATTTAACCCCTTATAGAAGTGATTATCTGCTGTATTTGTACTATAAAGGGCTCTTTTTTTTTCCCCTAACCCCATCATGTCAGGTGATACAAAAAGCATGATGCTGCTACTAAATGTCTTAGTGACAGCAAGCACAGGTTGTATCAAGCTACAGTAGATATAAAAAGTCTACACACCCCTGTTAAAATATCAGGTTTTTGCGATGTAAAAAAATGAGACAAAGATAAATCTTTTCAGAACCTTTTCCACTTTTTAATGTGACCTATAAAACTGTACAACTCAAAAGGTGGAAAAAGTTCTGAAAAGATTTATCTTTGTCTCATTTTTTTACATCACAAAAAGCTGACATTTTAACAGGGGTGTGTAGACTTTTTTATATCAACTGTACCAATAACAAGGGAATCTGTCATGGATAATATTCTATTTCAGTCATGTCTGAAAATCAGCAAAACCGTGTATTGGTGTATTAGGTCTTTTTTTTTTATTTATTTTTTTTCTTTATAATAAAATTTGATCCGAGTCTCATGACATGTACCAGAATCAACCTGTAATAGTATGTGTGTGTATATAATATATTCTGTCTGTTATTCTCAGAGTGGATTAGATATTTTGTTCTTTAACCATATAGCTGGTTGTTTATTTTTATGACAACATATAGATATTTAAGAATAATTTGTCTTTTTTAAGCTTTATACATTAAATTATACACCAAACTTTTTTGAGGTTTTTATACAATTGATCAAAACCATAATTGGCCAACTAATCGATTATGAAAATAATCGTTAGTTGCAGCCCTAGTGAGCTAAAAGTGTAATGGCCCTGTAATCTATTTTTTATTAGGTAGTTTCTTGCTGTGTTTGTCTGCCTCCTTGGTAACATTCTCTGAACCCCTCCATCTTCCCCCCTTCATTTCCTTTTATTTTAAATAAGCAGGGCATGTTTGTTTGGTTCATGTGCACTGCTCTATGCACATTACAAATCCTAAATTCCCATAGCCTGTAGTCCATATCGGGACTGTGAGAGGATGGCTACACTCCTACTTACCACAAAGCAATTAACAATGAACCTAGCCACCCTATAACAGGAAACTATCAAAAAAGCAAAACAAAGTTACTTTTTGAGTTAGGAATTCATACTTGAATACTGTAAATCATTTTTTAAACCAGTGTTTAGTGTCACTTTTAATCAAAACTTCTGATCCCTGTGCCTGTCCTGGATCAGTGGTTAATAATATTCAAGTATTAAAGTCATTAGGTTATCATGACAGCAGGCAGCTAGCATTTTCAGAAGAGGTGAAAAATGGCAGCCCCATTTTACTTGTAAAAAAAAGTAACAAAAATCAAACAATTGCCATCCCCCCTCCCTAGTTCCATCAACACGCATACCAGGTATGTGTGGTATCCCAAGGCAGAATCGCCCTACAAAACAGAGCAGTTTTAGAACACACATGAATGTTTTGGCACTAATCTACTCACAGATCTGATTGGTTGCTTTTGGGTTTTACATATCAATCTTTATGTTCATTATTCAATTGTGACCAAGTTACTCCTCTACCAAGTAGAGCATAATCATTTCAAAAGACCAGTGTTCGAGCTTTGTATGGGTCATATGAGCATATGTATGTCAGCCATTGTTTATGTGCAAGTATTCAAGTGATTACCATCAGCCAGGACAGTGGCAGCTTAGTCTGTATTGAACATCAGTTTGTCTCCTCCTTGAATGTTTTTTTAAATTGGCCTGATGATAGGTTTATGTGTCAGCTCCAAGAAATCCTGCAAAGGATCGCTCCTCTAAAAATAAGCAGGTTTTAGGTTATAAGAAGCAACATGTCAATGCTGTTGAAACAGCAAAATGTAATTTATATGCTGAAGGTCCTGGGAGTTGTGCACAGATTGCTGCCAGCTGGCACATAATGGAAAACATTTCCCTGTACTCCTCCAGCTGGAGGCATACACTAAAGGTGACCCCTGTTGGCACTGCAAGCATATTCGGCTTTTGACCATTACTGTGTAAACCATGCCAGCACTTGAACCGCATGTGTGCTCCACTCCATTCTAGATGTAAGGCAAGAGTACTCTCTAAAAATGCACTTGAGGATCCACAGCAATTATTTATTGGGAACTTATCTTGGATAGTTTTTCTTTTACCTCTATCTGCTGTTTCTGTGTAGCAAAGTAAAAGCTGGATTCTATTTAGATTATGCTATATTATTTAATTGGTGCATGGAAGTTATTTAGCCATAGGATAAAGAAAAGTAATATTAAGTGCCTGGTCATATGAGTTAATTTATGGGGAGTTTGCAGTGGAGCTTAACAGGGAAATGACTGTTAATTGTGAATCTGGTTTTAAAATGTGGAACTCCTAACAGTAAAGCTGGAAAAAAAGTTTCATTATTCTCTACATTAAATTTTCTGAATGCAGTTATGTTTCCAACTGCATTGTATGTTTGTTGCTCTTAAAGGACAAGTAGGGCCTAAGCTGTTTTGGCCCTACTTCTTCTAGGGATCACAAGAGTGCTCTTCGTTCTGTGCTCCTATGACCTGTATTCAACTAACAGCAGGCCAAAGCCAGATGTCAGCTGATGTCACTCAGCCAGTCCATACTCTGGAAAGATCCTGACTTTAATGTCGGGATCCACCCAGATGCCTAAGTGGTAGCTAACGCTCGCTGCAAGTGCAGGACGGGCAAAGCAGAGAGGCAGTGACTGACTATGTCCCTGGCTCTCGGCTTAATGAATATGGAGGACTGAGCATTTAACAGTCTTTGATTGCACAGTTCTCTGTTGTTTGTTTTATTTTTTTATCTCGAACGTCTTTTAAGGCAAGTGTCTGCAAGGATGTGTGCAGAAAAACATAAATGAAGGGTAATTGTTTATGATGCACAACTGCTTTATCTAAATGTCATTCAGTTTGGGTGTCAAGTTACTTCAAATGTTCCTCCACCACACATTGATGTCTGCTACTCCATAAACACAGGTGTGACAGGGTTGAAAATTGTTTTTGAAGCATACCTAAACTCAAATACAGAAATGTTACATATTGCAGCATTTCAGTCCTTCGATGTGGTGGCGGCAATGGTTTTCTTTTTTCAGGATAAAAGCATTTTTAGCAAATTATTTATACTGTCTGGTTGTCAACCTTCATTAAATCCCTAAAGACATTTTGGAAATTGTTTGCTTTTTTTTTTCTACTTTTGTCACATTTCTGTTATAGTTATTATTTTTTAATCTAGAATTTGCACACCTTTGCTGGCTGAAAATACAAAACCACCTTTGAATAAATGCTGGAAATGTCAATTAATATGTTAGGATCAGGGGCGGACTGACCATTTGGAAACTCTGGCACTGCCCGAGGGCCCGGGGTCAGTAGGGGGCCCCATGAGATGCCCCTGGTACCTTTTTCATAGGCCTTTGTGAGTTTGGGCAAGGACACAGGGGCCCCATGATCCCCTATTGCCCGGGGGCCCCATGAGTTGTCAGTCCGCCCCTGGTAGATACAAGTGAATGACAGTATTAAAGTATTGTGTCTTGTCACTTTAACCAGGTCTCCGCAAACATGATGTGTGCTTCTTGATCACCCTGCGACCCATCTTACTATATGGAACAAAGATTGATCGGAGACAGTCTATTGTGGAACAGACTGGGCTCATGTATGTACGAGGATGTGAGATTCAAGGCATGCTGGATGAGAAGGGGCGAGTCATTGAAGAAGGTAAGATACTAATAAAACTGCATTGTAGAATTGGTTATAGTTGGAGAATGTTTTAAAGGAAACAAGTAAGTCTGTAAGGTGGATGGTCACTGAAAGTGTTGCTGTGCTCTTGGAACATACCTGAAACTGTCCATAACTGTTTCATTAGAAAATCAGGGACTCGGATCCATTTGGAAGGCTATGAGCTAAAATAGATGGTATCTGAGTCTTGCTAGATAAGGAGAAGAATCTTTGAGGTTTTGCCTGTAATGCAGCCTTACGGTGCTGGACCCTGTGCAGATGGAACCCTGCACAGTTTTAAAATCTGACCAAGGCTCTTCCAGCGGGGTGCTATACGGATCCGAGGCAGTAGCCCCTCAGCATGGGGACTGAGTCCTTGAAGGTCAGTATGACAATGCGTGCCATGATGGGTAAAGGTTGGGGCCTGACGGAAGTCAGGGACCTGCGGCGAGACTGGTAAGATATCTCCTTTTTTCCCTCTCTAAAGAGAAACAAAGCTCTAAATTGGAGGGAAAAGAGAGGTGTTGTGAGTTCCACCAGGGGAGTGCTCACTGTTGTTCCTGAGATGTGCTTGCTCTTTTTGTTTTCGGCCACTAGAGGGAGTGCGGCCAGGAATGGAATTCGGCCATATTTTGTTTATCTGGAGGCCAGGACACATGTGGGCTGCTGCTGAGAGATCTCTTGTGGCCAGGACACAGAGCGGGCTACTCTGTTGGGGCATGTGAGTGCTCCCCTGAGGGGGAAACATGGAGCAGTCAGGAGCCGCCCTAGGTGGCTCATAAGGCAGCATTTGCATTGAGTGTTTTTACTTCAGCACACTACTTGCATAGCTGTATCATTGTGATCTGTGTTACTAATGAAGGTGCACTGGTTTTTGCTATCTGAAGCAATGTCCTCCAGAAAGCAGAGTGGGGGAGGTGCAGCAGCAGAAGAAAAGGGCACTAATGTACCACCGCCAGGTCCTGAGGAACCTAGGCAAAGGTCCACTGTAATATTCTCTCCTGACAGGCCAGAAGCGACTGGGCAGTCTGAGCTGCTGCGTCTGACTGGCATTTTGGCTGCTTCTGGGGCTTCTACCTCAGCATATGTAACCAGGGATGATCTTGCTTCAGCCTTAGCAGGTTTAGAAGATAAGATCGCTGGGGTGATTGCATCTGTTTCTTAGGGGACTAAGAAGCGGGATAGATCCCCGTCATAAGAACCAACAATCCTTGAGCAGGAATGGGTGGAGCCTGAGGATAAGGAAGAGCTGGATGAAGGTCAGGCAGTAGAATTTCTGTGTGAGGAGTCACAGCCTGAGGAGAAGCAGGAGGTCTCTGCCTCCCAGTCTCAGAGATTTTTAGTCCAAAACCTCACTGATCTAGTACAGTCTGGATCCGGCTACCTCTAATAGAAGCCTCTGAAGTTACTTATTCTTCCCTGGGCTCTTTGAAGCCTAAACAGAGTACTCAGGCCTTTCCAGTGCATCCTCTTCTGGAGAAAATTATGTATGCTGACTGGGACCACCCAGACAGGGTTTTTGTCCCACCAAATGGGGTTTTCTGTTTTGTACTCTATGGAACAAAAGTTTAAGAAACTGGGGTTGCCTGTAATGGATGCAGCTGTTTCATCCCTGAATAAATCTTTAACATGTTCTGTGGATAATGTAAAGGTTTTCAAGGACCCAGCAGATGATAAGCTGGAGTCTTTCCTTAAGACCTCCTTCTCCCTGGCAGGTTCTGCCGCACAGCCAGCTGTGGTAGCTATTGGCATTTGCCAGAGTCTTTCTGACTGTGTCAAGCAACAGATTGGAAGACCAACAGGGCAGGGGGAATGCTCGGCAGAGGATTTGGAGGATGTTCTGCATGCTTTGTGTTTAACGGTTGATGCTCTTAAGGAATCCAGCAAATTTCTCGCTTGGCCCTCTTATCAGTTCACATGCGCAGGGTTTTGTTGCTGAAGAATTGGTCAGCAGAACTGCCATTCAAAAAATTTTTGCCAGGTTTTTCTTTCATGGGCAATGGCTGTTTGGGGAAGATTTGGACAAATATATCCAAAAGATTTCAGGCAATAAAAGTACTCTTCTACCCTCTAAGAGGAAATTAAAACGCACTTCTTTTAAGGTGTCATGGGCTTTGGTTGCTGGAGCCTCATCTACCATACAGTTGTTTCGCCACACACAGGTCCCAGCCTGCAGGGGTAGATTTCAGAATCAAAACCCAAGGAGGCCTTGGGTGCAAAAGTTGTCTAATACAGATCCAAAGTCTGCCTCCTTATGAAGGGGCGCCCCCACTTGTTAGGGTGGGGGAAGGCTTTTGAATGTTGTGGCCGCATGGAGGACTCCAATCAAACACAAATGTGTCATTTCCACGATTTCTCTGGGGTACAGACTAGAATTTCGGGTACTTCCCTCTCCCCGGGATCAAATGTACCAACAAATCCAGAGCAAAGAAGAGCTTTATTTCAGGCACTCTATTGCCTATTGACTCAAGGAGTAATCACAGAGGTTCCAGCGGGCGAATGGTTTCAGGGGTTTTATTCAAACCTGTTTACAGTCCCAAAACCATATGGGGATTTAAGGCCCATTTTTGGACCTCAAAGGGCTAAATCAATTCCTATATGTCCGATTCTTTCGTATGGAATCAGTTTGATCAGCAGTGGCCTTCCTACAGGAGGGAGATTTTTTGGCATCCATAGACCTGCATACCTGCATGTACTGATATTCATTCCTCACCAAAGATTTCTGCGGTTTGCAGTAGAGGCTCAGCATTACCAGTTCATAGCACTACCTTTTGGGCTGGCCACGGCTCCCAGAGTTTTAAAAAAAAAAAATGTCTTCCTCCGATGCTGGGGCTACTCAGAACTCGGGGATTATTGTTCACGGGTTATCTAGATGATCTCTTGCTCAGAAATCGGTTGGTGCCAGATCTGAAGCAGGATGTGGTCCTTACGATGCAGATCCTGGAATAGCAGAGCTGGGTGCTCAACCTCAAGAAGTCAGCCCTGGAACCAGTGCAGAGCCTGGAGTATTTGGGACTGGTCCTAGACAAGGTTCAGGCAAAGATATTTCTGCCTCCAGGGAAATGTTGCATCCTGAGGAATGAGGGTTTGCAGTTTGAAGGCCAAGAGGAGGTATCCTTCAATTCGCCTCTGTATGAGGTTGCTGGGGAAGATGGTGTTTTCTTTCAAGGCTATTCCCTATGCTCAATTCCACTCCAGACTGCTGCAGAGGTCTGGATGGAACAAAAAGATTCCTGCCCTGGTTTACTGCATATCTCTGTCTCCGGAGGTGCAGCAGAGCCGGAATTGGTGGTTGATAACTCACAAATTGGAGAAGGGAAGATCCTTTTGGCATGTGGTGTGGAAGTTGGTAACCACCGATGCAAGCCTTTCAGGTAGGGGGGCCTTGCTGGAGGAGGCCACAGTTCAGGAAACATGGCTTCCACAGGAAAGGGTTCTTCCCATCAATGTACTGGAACTTCGAGTAATGAGGCTGGCTCTGAGATATTTGACACCCAGGCTTCAGGGTTGGCCTGTAAGGATTCAGACCAACAATGCAACAGCAGCCACATATATCAACGACCAGGGCGGTACCAGGAGTCAAGGTGCCCAGAAGGAGGTGAACTACATTCTGACCTGGAAAGAGAGATGTGTTCCAAGTCTGTCAGCAGTGTTCATTCCAGGTGTGGTTTATCTCAGTCGCTGGCACTTGATTCCAGGGGAAGTCTGACAGCAATGTGGTTGCCCGGATGTAGATCTATTGGCATCCAGGTTCAACAATAAGGTCAGTCTTTTTGTGTCCAGGGTAAGGGGCGCTTGTGCGGCAGGGGTAGACGCCTTGGTGATCCCATGGAACCAGTTCTCACTGATTTAGGCTTTTCCTTCGATCCAGCTGCTGCCATGTCTCTTACGCAGAATTCTTGAGGAGTCTATTCTGGTGAAACGGATTGCTCTGGCTTGGCCCAGGAGGGCCTGGTATGCGGACATAGTGAAGATGGCAGTAGATGGGCTGTGGGCCCTGCCGTATCGACCAGACCTGTTGTCTCGAGGTCCCATATTGAACCCAGCTTTACGGTCAATAAATTTTATGGTGTGGCTATTGAAACCCAGATCCTGAAGGATAGGGGAGTGTTAGATTCTTCATCCCCATCATGTTGGGTGCTAGAAAGGAAGTTTCTGTGAACATTTATTACAGAACCTGGAAGACTTACATTGCCTGTTGTGAGGGTCACAAATGGCACCCACGAAAGTATGTGATTGGCAGGATTCTGTCGTTTCTTCAGACAGGGTCGTAGAAGAATTTGGCTGTTGGGTACCATTAAGGGCCAGGTTTCAGCATTATCCATTTTTTTCCAGAGGCCCATTGCGTCTCATTCTTTGGTCTGCACTTTTTTGCAAGGAGTAATGCGTATGGCTCCTTCTGTCAGGTTGCCTTTGTGTTCTTGGGAACTAAACTTGGTTTTGGAGGTTTTGCAAAAGCCACCATTTGAATCTATTGGAGAATTTCCACTGGTCCTATTGACATGTAAGGTGTTGTTTCTAGTGGCAAACACTTCTACGAGAAGGGGTGTCAGAGCTGGCAGCTCTATCTTGCAGAGAACTAATTCTGGTTTTGCATTATAAGGTGGTGTTGCGACCTCATCCGTGCTTTTTGCCAAAGGTGGTTTCTGGTTTTCATCTCTATCAGGACATAGTTCTTCCTTCATTCTTTCCTGGGCCTCAGTCAGCAAGAGAGATATCTTTGCATACCTTGGATGTGGTTTGTGCCATAAGAGTATTCTTGAAGCCGTCATCCCAGGTCAGGAGGTCAGATGCTCTGTGCTGCCAGAGGGGCCTAGGAAGGGGCAGGCGGCATCCAAGGCAACTATTTCTCACTCTATCCGCCAATTGATCATTCAAGCCTATGGTTTGAAAAGTAAAGTCCCACCCTTTCGGGTGAAGGCACACTCCACCAGGGTGGAGCGTGGGGGCATCTTGGGTAATCCGCCATCAAGCGTCAGTGACTCAGTGTTGCAAGGCCGCTACATGGTCTTCGGTTCACACATTTACAAGATTCTACCAGGTGGATGTCAGAGCCACAGTGTTTTACGAATGGCTGAGTAGGTCCTGACGGATTATTGATGGTGGCTATCATACTGTCACCCTTCCCTCAAATTTCTTATTGCTTTGGGACATCCCACATAGTCATGAATAGCCTGCTCTGTGTCCCGTGATGTACGAAAAAGAAAATTTGGATTTTTTTGTACATACATGTAAAATCCATTTCTTGGAGTACATCATGGAACACAGAGGTCCCACCCCTCTTTCAGGAATGTCATTGCTTGCTACAAAAGCTTGGGTACTTCCTGTATATCAGGTTATATAGGGGAGAATCTCCTCTCTGATTGGTCCCGTGATGTACTCCAAGAAATGGATTTTACAGGTAAGTATGTAGAAAAAAATCCAATTTTTGTGCAGTGACAGCTTTATCCCTGCTCAAAAATACTAATATTTTTACCGTTTTTGGACAGTGTTCAATTAAAAATCTATGGTGAAGGAACCATCTTTAACATGAGTCCACAGGTCTGGCTAGTGCACATAAGTGCAGATCTGCACAAGCACAGAGTGAGGCCATCTGCAAGCTGCAGTAAATTGCTTTTCATGTATCATTCATGCTGACAGTTTGAGTTTGAATTAAAGCACCAGTAGCGTAAAATCCCAGTATTTTCTGAACCTGGTGTGGCATGTACAACTGACCATAGAAGCAAACTGATGTACCTGCTTGTACTTTACTATACACCAATGCATTTGTGCAAATTCTGCATTATAGGAATACAGTATGCACTTGTTTACACTGATGCACAAATAGAAATGGTAAGGCCTGTTGCAAAAATTTGGGAAAATTTTTTTTTTTTCTGTTTTTTTTTTTTTTCAAAGCCATTTTTTAACTTTATTTCCATAAAAAATTGAAAAAATGTGAAATATGTTCTTTTACAATTATAAATAATTTATCTATGACATGGTATTCAAACTGTATAACATGAAGTATTCCCTTGACCTGGTGCACTTCTCACCTTATTGACCTAAAATTAACAAAATATAAACAATTATCAAGTGCCTTATTTATATTATAGAGTTCAAAATGCTATATTATTAAATAGTCTAGTCCAACAAACTGATTGCAGAAATAAAGTGCTCAATCCAACACAGATTCTATCAGAGAAAAAAGATCTTGAAAGTATTAAATCATGATTCCTCCACCAAATTAAATCAGCGTCTTACCAAAAACATTGCTATTGATATCAATAAATCAATACACCCCTGTGTGCTCTCAATCTGCACTAGTCCATCTATAGCTGTGATTTACTAATGAATCACAGTCATCTTCCCACTGCACTGAGATTGTACGGCACATTAGTCCTGCAGCCTCCTGGAATGTGTGATGTGTCCCAGGAGGCTGTGGGGAGGGGACAGGTGACATAATCTTTTCTTGGGTGAGGATTACAGGAGAGGGAGCTGGTACGACAAGAAATGGTACTCGCTTCCCCCCTTCCCCCAAAAATCTGCTCTAGTTGCTGGAACTGCACTCAGTGAACCCTAGGAAAATGGTCAAAGGCTTTGCTTTGTTTGTGTAAGACACTAGACATGACAACTAATTTTTACCGTTTATGTAGGGCCTGAACCAAAGCCTAAACTCAAAGGAGATTCAAGAACCTTCCGAGTGTTTCTAGATCCCAATCAGTATCAGCAAGACATGACAAACACTATTCAGAATGGAGCTGAAGATGTGTATGAAACATTCAACCTGATCATGAGGAGGAAACCTAAAGAAAATAACTTCAAGGTCAGTATTGAACCCTTCTTGCATAGATAATTATGCTCAAGTGATAAAGGGTTAGATCGTCTGTCAGTTTACAGTATGTTTGGGGAGAATTGCCCTCATTTGCTACATTGTCCAGAAAGGAGAGGGATATACCCTCTTCTAAAGGGACTCCTAATTCGGGTGCAGGCAGAAAATTCCACCACACAGCGGCATATATTGACCATCAAGGGATTCTCTGGCTCTGGTCTCTGATGCTCTAATTATCACTTGGTCTTAGTTCAGGCTAATTTATGCCTTTCCTCCACTGAAATATGCCTTGCCTGCTCCACAAAATAGAGCAAGAGAGGAAAACAGTGATCCTACTTGCCCAGAAGAACCTGGTTTATAGACATACTCAAACCTCTGCTGCTCTCAGGTGGCGTGCCAATGGTCTGGTAATTATGCAGTCTTTTTGCCTGTGATATTTTTGTTCTGATTGTGTGTTGTACTTCAGTTTTGAGTTGTGCTCTCCCCTCCTTGAGAATGGAGAGGTTCCTATTATCTGTCCATCACTGAGCCATTATACTAGACCATTTAAACAGTGTAGGTTGGCAGACAGGTTAGATCTGATGAAGAAGACATGACCCTTGAAACCTGTTAGCTTCTGTGTATGATCAGCGCACTTGCAGTCCTTTGAGAAATTTGAGCCATCTGCTCCAGTGTTGAATGGGACTTTATTAATTAATTGACCGATCTGTGAATTTTAAATGTGACAGTGGCTGCTGTGAGAAGAAATACTGGTATAACATGTTGCTAAAGGTGAACCTATCCCTATATTGAAACAGACATTTCTCAGCCCAATATTCTGTTCCCCACATGCATTCAGAATAGTATATTTGATGCCAAAATAATCCAATAAATTGGTCTTCACTAAATATTTAAATATGTATTTTTATGAAAAATCAATATTCTTTCAAAAAATGGTGTACAGCCAACTTAGTGTTACTAAATCCACAAAAGTAAAATCGGTCTGTATATATACACTGTGGAACCTAAGGGGTTAATCCTCTGAAAAAATGCTGTTTGATCCTGACGTCTCTGATCCTCCCCTTCTTCCAATGTCCCCCCTCTTATTTCCTAATAAGACATATTGTGTGGAGTCACTGCACATGCTCAGTTTGGTGTGTATTACTAGAGAAGGTTTTTTTTTTTTTTTCCTTTGGGAGAGTGCATGTGATCAGCACTGTCCAGACAGAGGTCAGGGGTTTTGCATCCTCCTAGAGCAAAATGAAAACTGCTGCTACAAGCTTTAACATGTGTTCGGCTGGGCATTGATAGAAATCACATGACTGCTCTAACAGCTGATGAGAAAAGGTATTTAGCAGGTTATATTTACTAAAATCATTGCACTTCCATGTACTGTGGGAGACCAGATGTAGTGAATGCAGGGTACTGGGTTTAGTAAACACTTTAACTGTGTAGTGTTAAAAATCTAAAATCGATCCATCAACTAGAACATCTGTCATATCTTCTCCTATTCAATAAAGTTTACGTTTTATCAGCAAATTTCCATGTTTATCCTATAATGTTTTCCAGTATGCTTGATAGCTTCTCCAAAGTATGTGCCAGTTCATTTTACATCCAATTAAACCTGCCAGAAAGTGCAGCTGGAAGGAGATTACATCTCTAGAGAAGTCATCATTGGGAATCTGCCCAATATACAACACCAATCCAAACTTGTATGTTGGCAGATGACATTCATAAAAATAAAGATATCACCATGCTAGCCCCAGATGTCTTGCAGACATTCCTTTCACATGGACACCACTGTTGTCAAGCAGAGGAAGTGCGCCCCTAGATCCAACTGTCTGTTTTTATATTGCACAGCCAGACATATCATCTAAGGGGTCTGTTCACTAAAGCATAGTGATGTGATATTGTCTTTACCATGTGTTATCTTCTAAATTTTAAATTCAAGAAAGGGTGTATTGCAAAGGTCAGGTGATTTCCACTGCATGCACATTAAACTAACATTTAATTGCTGTATATTGTATTTAAAGGTCAATTTACAAATTGTTGCAAGCTTATTAGCTTCCTAAAATACAGCTCGCTTTTGGCAGGTGATAGTTGTAATGGTCTGGGACGTGTCTGTGTAGAAGAGCAGGAAAAGAAAACTTTGTGAAAGCAACTAATGGCCCATGAGAAATAAAGACTTTCCATTGTTAAATAACCATTGCTTCAAAAAACCCTACTTGTGAGGTATATGGTGCTTATAAAATGTATTCAACCTCTTGGAAGTTTTCATGTTTCTTTGTCGTACATCACGGAACACAAAGCAGGCTATTCATGACTATGTGCGTTATATGCCACCTGTAGGTGAATGGACACTGGCCGACCAATCAGAGAGGAGTTACTCCCTTATATAACCCCTCCTACACAGGAAGTACTTCAGTTTTTTTTTTCGCCAGTGTCTGTAAGGTGGATGGTCACTGAAAGTGTTGCTTGTGATCCTGGAGCATACCTAAGGTCTAGTACAGTTCCTTCAAGAATCATGGACTTTAATCGGATCTATTCAGAAAGCTGTGAGCCAAAATGGATGGTACCAGAGCCTCGCTGGATAGGGAGAAGAATCCTTGGGGTTTTGCCTATAATGCAGCCTTACGGCACCTGACCCCATGTAGATGGGCCCTTTGTGCAGGTTTAAATCTGACTAAGGTGCTCTCCAGCGGGGTGCTATACGGGTCTGAGGTAGTGGCCCCACATTATGGGGACAAGTCCTTGAAGGTCTGTATGACAATGCCCGCCGTGATGGGTGAAGGTTGGTGCCTGGTGTCTTAAGTCTGGGACCTGCGGTGGGATTGATAAGCTTGTTCTTTTTCTCTCTCTCTGTTAAAAAAAAAAAAAAAAAAGTTGGGGCCACTGGAGGGAGCATTTTGGTCTCTAGAAGTGCAGCCAGCCATTGGCCGTGGGGTGCATGTGCATTCAGCGGAAATGGAAGTCAGCCATATTTAGTTAGCAGGAGGCCTGGGCACACGTGGGCTGCTGCATCTGCCGCTGAGGGATTCCTGCGGTGGGGACACAGAGCAGGCTATTCAGTGGGGCAGGTGAGTACTCCCCTGGGGGGGAAGGAGCGTTGCTCAGTCAGGAGCCACCTTTGGTGGCCTGTATGGTCAGCAATTTGCATTGTTTTCTTTAGCACACTACTTTCATAGCTGTATCTTGTGGTATGTGTTTTACTATTAGAGGTGCACAGGTTTTTATGCTATCTGAAGTAATGTCTTCCAGAAAGCGGAGTGGGGGAGACACAGCAGGTAAGGGCACTAATGAGCCACCGCCAGGTCCCGAGGAACCTAGCCAAATGTCTGCTGTAATATCGTCTCCTGAGAGACCAGAAGCGACTAGCCAGTCTGAGCCACTGCATTTAATTGGCATGATGGCTACTGCTGGGGCATCTGTCTCGGCATATGTAACCAAGGATGATCTTGCTTCAGCCTTAGAGGGTTTAGAGGATAGGATCGCAAGGATGATTGCATTGGTTTCACAAGGGGCTAAGAAGCTGGAGAGGTCCCCATCACTAGAGCCACCAATCCTGGAGCAGGAATAGGTGGAACCTGAGAATGAGCAACTGGAGGAAGGTCAGGCAGTAGATTCTCTATAGGAAGGGTCACAGCCTGAAGAGTAGTAGGCAGTCTCTGCCTCCCAATCTCTGAGGCTATTGGTCCAGGACCTCACTGATCTGTTACGATCTGGATTCAGGCTACCTCTGATAGAAACCTCCTGAGATTACTTATTCTTCTCTGGGCTCTTTGAGAGTCTCTGCAGAGAGACCGAGGATGTTCCACGTGCTTTATGTTTTGCGGTTGATGCTCTTAAGGATTCAATTCAGCAAATTTCTCTCTTGACCCTCTTATCAGTACATGTGCGCAGTTTTATGGCTAAAGTGTTGGTCGGCAGAACTGCCAGGCAAAAAATTATTGGGGAAGATTTGGACAAATATATCCAAAAGATTTCAGGAGGAAAGAGTTCTCTTCTACCCTTTTTAAAGGAGATCCAATAGCCCTACTTTTAAGGTGTCAGGGGCTTCGGTTGCTGGCCCCTCATCTACCAGGCAGTCGTTTCATTGCATACAGGCCCCATCCTTCAATGGCAGAACTCAGAATCAAAACCTGAGGAGGCCCTAGGTGAAAAGGTCATCCAAGGCAGATCCAAAGTCCACCTCCTTATGAAGGGGCGCCCCCATTCGTTCAGGTGGGGGACAGGCTTTCAGATTTTTTTGCTGCCTGGAGGGCTCTGATCCAGGATAAGTGGGTTATTTCCACGATTTCTCTGGGTTACAGACTAGAATTTTGGGTCTTTCCCCCTCTCCGGTTTCTAAAATCAAATATACTGATAAATCAAGAGAAGAGCTTTGTTACAGCCACTCGATCACTTATTGTCTCGGGGTGTTCAGAAGTTCCAGCGGATGAAAGGTTTCAGGGGTTTTATGCAAACCTGTTCACAGTCCCAAAGCCAAATGGGGATATAAGGCCTATTTAGGACTTCAAGGGGCTGAATCAGTTTCTAAATGTTAGGTCTTTTCATATGGAATTAGTTTGGTCAGTAGTGGCCTTTTTACAGGAAGGAGATTTTTTAGGTGTCCATAGACATCAAGGGCGCATACTTTCATGTGCCGATATTCATTCTTCACCAAAATTTCTGCAGTTTGCAGTAGGGGCTCAGCATTTCAAGTTCTTAGCACTACTGTTTGAGCTGGCCACAGCTCCCAGAGTTCACAAAAATTCTTGCTCCAGTGTTGGGGCTGTTGCTTAGAGATCGGTTGGTGCCAGAATGAAGCAGGATGTGGGCCTTATGACGCAGTTCAAGTTCACGAAGTCAGCCCTGGAGCCAGTACAGAGCCTGGAGTATTTGGGGATGATGATCCTAGACACAATTCAGGCAAGGAATTTTTGCCTCCAGGGAAATGTTGCGCTCTGAGGAATGAGGTTTGCAGTTGAAAAGCCAAGAGGTATCATTCAATTCACCTCTGTATGAGGTTGTTGGAA